GTGATGGGTATTAAGGAGGGCACGTACTGCATGGAGCACTGGGTGTTATACGAAAATAATGGATCGTCGATCACCACATCAAAAACCAATGATGTACTGTATGGTGACTATCATAACAATAAAATTTAAAAAAAAAAAAAAAAGAAAGAATGGCCAGAAAATTCCCAAATCTGAGGAAGGAAAGAGACATACAGATTTGTGAAGTCCAACATATTCCAAATAGGATGAAACTAAAGAACTCCACAATGAGACACATAATCAAAATGTCAACAATTAAAGACAAAAAGAGAATTTTGAAAGCAACAAGAAAAAAGTGACTCCTCATATACAAGGCCACCCTTGTAAGACCATTAGTAGATTCCTCATAGAAACCTTGCAAGCCTGAAGTGAGTGGAATAGTATGTTTGAAGTGATAAAAATAAACTGTCAACAAAAAATACTGTATCTAGCAAAATTGTCCTTCACAAATGAAGAAGATAAAGACTTTCCCTGATAAACAAAAGCTGAGGGAGTTAATCACCATTAGACCTGTCTTACAAGACATACTAAAGGGAGTCCTTTGAATTGAAATGAAAAGACGTTAGACAGCAACACAAAAGTATTTGAAAGTAAAAGCTCACTGGTAAAGGTAAATATACAGAAAAACACACAACACTGAATACTGTAATGGGGATACATGAATCATTTCTTAATTGTGGCATAAAAATTAAAAGATAAAAGTATAAAAAATAACTAAAATTATAAAATGTATTAATGGATACATGATATAAAAATATGTAATCTGTACATCACTAACAAAATATAGAGATTTTGTATGCAATTAAAGTTGTTATCAGCTTAAAATAGATTATTAAGCCTATAAGTTATTTTATGTAAGCCCCATAGTAACCACAAACACCTACAGAAGATACCAAAAAGAAAATGAGAAGGAAATCAAAGTGTGTCACTACAAAAATACATCAATACTACACAAAGGAAGACAACAAGAAAGGAAAAGATGGACAAAAGAGCTATAAGACATACGAAAAACAACAAAATGGCAACAGTAAGTCATTCCCTATCAATAATTATTTGAAATATAAAACAGACTCCCAGTCACAAGACACAGTAGCTGATTGGATAAAAAACAAGAACCAAGTGTATGCTGTCTACAAGAGACTAAATTTTTTAAATTTAAATTCAGTTAATTAACATATAGTGTATTGGGGCGCCTGGGTGGCTCAGATGGTTGGGCGTCTGCCTTCGGCTCAGGTCATGATCCTAGGGTCCTGGGATGGAGTCCCGCGTCGGGCTCCCTGCTA